ACGGGTGGGCGGGGGGAGAGGAGAGGGAGAAAATGTGTGCGCGCGTGTCTGTCCAGGACGGTGTGACTTTGCTCACACCATCCCAGTAGGAAAGTCTGTTTTTCCCCCGCAGTGGCGGCACAATCGCTCGGATGCGAGTCGGGGCGCCCAGAGTCAGGAGGCGGAGGGAAACAGGCCTTTCTTTCCGATCGCGTTCGCGGGGGGCGAGAGGAGGGCCGGACGCGAGTCTCTCCGCCCTGGCCGGCCGCTCCGAAGCGCGGTACTGCCCTCTGCCGGCCGCGGCGGGCACGGCTCACCGAGCCCGCGCCGGACTCCGAGGCCTCGCCTGTGTGAAGTGGAAGACAGATCCAGCGCGAGTCATCTTCCGCGCACCCCCGGGGAACACGCCTCGGTCCCGTGGGGACTCAAAATAAACAGGTGCAGCCGGGCGTGGTGGCGCAGGCCTGTAATCCCAGCACTCGGGAGGCTGAGGCAGGAGGATCTTTGCGAGGTGGAGACCAGCCTGGGCTACAAAGTGAGCTCAAGGCCGGCCTGAACTGCATAGTGAGACTCTGTCTGAAAAAAAAGAAAAGAAAGAAAGAAAACAAAGAAAAGAGAAAAACAGGTGCCTCTGACTTAGCCAGCCGGCGCTCAGCATGTGGGGCCATGTCGGTGGAAGGCGCACGGAACAATGGCTTAGCGCCGCCTTGCACCCCTTCGGGCGTCACAGCGAGGCTGGAGGCCGAAGCCCTGTGCTCCTGCCTGCCACGCCGCTCAGCCGGAAGGACGGTTCCCGGAACCCGTGACTGCTGCTCCCGAGCCACCCCAGTGCCAGCTTCTGCAAAAGGGGCGCGACAGAGGCTCGGATGTGTGCAGCTGGACGCGGACGCGGGCAGTCCGAGCCAGGAGCGCGGTGGCCCGGCGTTGGGAGTCTGGAAAGCTGCCACGCGCCAGGCCTTCTCCTGCGAATCTCCACAAGTGGGTTCTGACACCAGCGCGGACACTGCCGGCCTCTCTACACGCTTAAGCCTCCTCCTCAGGGTCTGTGCCCATGCCTTTGGGAACCTGCCCGCCAGCGTGGCTGCCTGGTGTCAAGCGCTTCGGGGGGAGAAAGAGCCGGAGGGAGGAAGCTAAATTCCACCCTGGAGAGAGGCAGAAAGATGCTTCCGGGTTTACTGACCTATCTCAGAAGCACAGTGGAAAACATGGGTCTGAATTCAGAGGATGACAAAGGCGCTATCTCGTTTTTCGTTGTTTTCTTTTCTTTTCTTTTCTTTTCTTTTCTTTTTTTTTTTTTTTTTACAGGGCCCCCATATGCAGTTTAGGCCGGCCTTGAATTCACTTTGTAGCCCAGGCTGGCCTCGACCTCGCAACGATCCTCCTGCCTCAGCCTACCGAGTGCTGGGATTACAGGTGTGCGCCACCATGCCTGGCCATATCCAGTTTTTAGAAATCACATGCAACTCATTCTTCTTGACACAAACAGAGGTTTTGAAGATTCCTTCCCGTATCTGGGTCAGAGAGAAGAAGGGGCGATCGGAGGATGGGGAAAGAGTTAGGAGTCCGGTGATCATTTCAGTTTGGTACTAGGACCGCAATATGGACCCACAGTCAGAGTGACCAACACCCTTTGCGCTGCTCCAGACCCAGTGAGCTCCACTCTGCTGGCCTGTGCTGGGGAGGTGAGCGTCGCATGTCCCTGTCCTGTGTCGCCAGGGCGCTGCCTCTGTGTCGCAGTCTGGCGAAGCGCAGAGGAACGGAACGGGAAGGTGCGGCTGAGGCAGGCA